TGTCTCACTATGTAGTTGAGACTGACCTGGAACTCACCATGTAGCCCAGGCTGGTCTCGAACTCACAGCGATCCTCCTGCCTCAGCCTCCCAAGTGCTGGGATTACAGGCGTGCACCACCACGCCCAGCTAAACCTGGTATTCTTAAACTAGAACAAGAGCGGAATGCATTTTATTTTCCAACACTGCCAGCAGTAACAATAAGTAAACATAGGAGGAGGAGGAGGAGGTGAGGCGACATGGCGACCCACAGACATTTCTCTCATTTGTTTCAGTGGAACGTGTGAAAGCTGAATCTGCAGAGGCTGCCACAAAAATGTTGGAGGAAATGCAAAAGAAAAATCAGGAGATGATGGAACAGAAAGAGCAGAGTTATCAGGAGCACATCAGACAGTTGACTGAGAAGATGGAGAGGGACAGGAAACAGCTGCTGGAAGAGCAGGAGAGGATTATCGCTGTTAAACTCCAGGTATTCAGCTGCATCATCTTGAACTTCTCATTTTTCCTTTTTCTCTCCATTCTCCCTGATCAGAAAAATTGGCAGGTAGACCATGAAGTCTCCAAAAAGATCTTATACATATTGACACCCGTGTGCCTGCCTGACCCGTCTGCTTTATCTGCTTCTTATGTTTTTTTTTTAATTTGCAGTGCTGCCACATCAGTAAGTATATCCCTCAATAGCAGCTCTCTCTGCTAAGCATCATAAAAATGTTTCATCTGTGCCTCATGCATAGGAATATTAGAAAAGAACTTTGTCCCTCTTGTGAGAAATACCAGTTCAGAAAAGCAGCTTCAGAAAAGATAGCTTTCTTTAGATCACCCAGTTGGTGAAATATCTTGCTGTCTTTACAACATGAATTTTTTTTATCCAATCTATTTTCATTTAACTCTACAAGGATCTTTGTGAGCAAAAAACTATTTAATCTTGACACCACTCCTACCTGTTTTTTCTGCTTGGTCCCAGTTTCTGTTCAGTTGGGAGTTATGCAGAAATAATCCAGAACTCTGATTTGCTTACCTATCTTCTGTCACTCATGCTATCAAGTTGTGGAGGCTTAGCTCACATGTCCTAAATTAAGATCCAGACATTTCATCAGATCTTGTGTATATATGTTACTGGCGACCTGGCCAGAGCTTTGAATCTTAGCCTCAACTATCTGGATTCATTTCACCTTTCACCATTGAAAGCATAAGAACACCAAAACTGGGAAGATGAGTTTACTAACAATTTGGCTAAACTGGCAGGATAGCTAGCTTGCTTTTATATCCGCTGCACAAAATTGCTTTAATTTATAGAAGCGATAGGAAAAAAAGCCAAAATACAAGTTACATACAGCTATTCTGGGCCCAGAAAAGTGTTAGAAGTCAGGTTCTACTGAAGCCTTATTGGTGCCAGTACTGGGAACGACAAAGCTGGAGAAAGAGATTAATTTTAAGATTCTAATTTTGAAACTCCATTTCATTATCCCCTTTCAGCTTCATCCTGGTCTGCTCTTTTCCACAATCTTGAGGGAGTTGGGGTATCCCGCCAACTGGGGGTTGTTTAATGCTAGATATGATATCTATAGATAGATAGATATAAAACATAAGTAGAAGGAGTTCAATGTTTGATCTTAATAAAAAGTACCATGAATGATTGTAGAATCAAAAACAAAAGTGAGCCAAGTTCAGAAAATAGTCAATACCTCCACCTACTGGAAAGATTTTTGCTTTCAAATAAGCATGACAAAGCCCCTTTTCTTGACTATGGCTATTTACTGTGACCCAGTAAACATATTAAACTTGCCAGTTTCTTCCCTTGTCGCTACATGCACTTTTTTCTTTCTGAATGTATAAGATTAACCATATATGATTGGATGCCTTGATATTGAGATAGAATTTTTTGCTTTCTTTGTTACTGTCAGGTTCCAAATTGGAGGTTCCATATTGGAGAAAAAGTGATAGATGATTGAAATAAATATTTACACCTTTTGAAAATCTATGTGGTTGAGCATGCCTGTAGTCCCAGTACTCTGAGAGATCACAAGGATTGAAAATTCAAGCCTACCTTGAGTAGTGTAGTGACATAGTGACTTAGTGAGATCCTACCTCAAAACAAAAAATTTTAGAAAGGGCCACAGATATAGCACAATGAGAAGGCCCAGCATTTAATCCCTAATAATGAGAAGGAAAAAAAAAACACTATTTAGTCAAATTTGATCAATAAAATGGTTTAGAAAGATTAATCCTTAGATTAACTTCTATCAGAGTCCATGGTTAAGTTTATGAGGCTGTAAAAAAACAAGTTTATGAGGTTGTAGGTAACGACCTCACAAAATTTAGAATTTTGGCAGACAATAGTGGAAAAGTTTACAAGGAAAATGTAAGAGGAAAGTGAATACTGCTTGTATGTTAGATTTGGATTAAGAAATGTAATATTTTTTAGTTCTACCAGTTTTTTCCTCTGGATATCAAATCAAACCATTTTGTCTGTGAAATAAGTTTAGTTCTGACAGAACATTGTATGTAAGAGGATGCTTAGAGTCTTCGTTGTACAAGCCAAGGTAAATTACCATTTGGGCAAAAAACACATCCTTTTGCATGTTTTTCTTTGTTTTTTGTTTGTTTGTTTCAGTTTGGTTGGGGTTTTTTCTTGTTGTTGTTTTGTTTTTGTTTCCTGCTAACACATTGTAAAAACCAAATCGAATATCATCACCATGTGTCTTATTTACTTTTTTCATTGCTAGGGCAAAAAACCTACACCCACAAGTTAAAGCAGGAAAGGTTTATTTCAGTTTCACAGTTTGTGGAAGCTTCAGTTCGTCGTTAGCTGGCTCCAAGGCAAGGCGGCATGGCCAAGGGGCATCGCAGAGATGAAACAGTCCATGGAAGGGTAGGCAGGAAGCAGCAAGCAGCAACCTCTTCCCATTTTTATTCCAATCAGGCTCCAAGCCTATTGGTTGGTGCTCCTCACACTCAGGTTAGTCCTTCCAATTATCCACATTCAGAGCTATGCTAAACTAATCAATAGACTAATCCACTTGTCACACCCTTATTCCAGTATCACACACCCATGATTTGACCACCTCCCAAAAATCCAAAAAGCCTATGGGGCACATATATAGATATAAGCCACTACAGCACGTTAGGAATGAGTCTTAAAAATTCCAAGTTCTTTTCTAAAATTTAATCCTCTGGGATTTTAATCATGCAAAATGCCAAGAATCAGAGTTTAGTCATTAACATGCACTTGTCTTTGTTCTTTTCATAGTGACAATATCTTTAGAATTACTTAGTATATACAATTGAGTTCCAAAAATTTTGAATACGGACTATGAGAGTTAATGTCTATTTATCAACTAAGGAAACACGTATCATTTGTCATGTTGTTGCCAGATTTTAAGGTCTGTTCTGCTTGGTAATTAACAGAAAGACTCAGTGGCACCTGCTGTAGAGGATAGAAAGGGTCTACCAACCAAAATTTCAAAGACACTTTGAAGGGTCTACCAAGCATAATTTCAAAGACACACTGAAGCCCACTTTGAAGTGTTACTGTAATTTGGAGCAGAGCAAGGGGTAAAAAGACTCTGAAGATTCCAAAGTAAGGAAACAAAAATCCCAATCTAGAAATGGACAAAAGTATAGAGCAGGAATTTCACCAAAGGAAATAGGAGGAAGTCATATAAGTAATGGAAATATGATCAATATCATCAGCCTTTAGTGAAAAGCAAAATAAAATCCTGCTGAGAAACAACAACTACCTGCCTACTAGAATGAGGGTGGAGTCATTAGAATTATTTCCCCCTACAGCTACAAGATCTCCACCCTCAATCTGAAATTCTTCACTCCAGTGACAAATGTTTAGGGAAATCATTAAGGAACACTTTGGTAATGTTGTTATGCCTTTCCAGTCAACATCATCAATCCTTGGCCCTTTATCTGCCCCCCTGCCACATTAGCATATGACTCTTTAAGTCTCTATTCACCTAATTTGTATGTGTAGAGTCAGTCTCCACTTGCTGGGAAGTGAATCACATAAGGACAGGTATGTTATACATTTGTTGATAACTAAAATACACTGGGCACCCAGTAAATATTTGTTTAATATTTCATGCTTCCCCAGTGAACTTTTTGCACCATGGATCAGCCTAAATGTCCCATAATTATTTGGTAACTTCTTATCCTACTTACCTCATTTCTTCTCATACCCTGGCTAGCATGGCCATTTTCACTCAGGCAAGTGTTATTGTCCACTTAAGCTTAACTTTTAGATCTTAACCACTTCCTGAAAGTGATCTTTCTTGGTTTCTCTTCTTTGCACCAACCCCTGAGTCTGGTAACCCTGGGATTCCTTTCTAGTCTTCTCATGGTCTTATCCACACATTTCCTCTGAATCAGGACTTTGTCAATGATAAGCAGAATATATGTGCACCTGGCTTCCTATCTGGGTGTAACTGCACGTGATGATCTCCATGAATCTATCCAGTAGATGCCAAACCCAACATGTCCCACATAGTCATTTCTTTCAGCTCCTATGGTCTGATTTCCCCCAGTGTACCCTCTTGGCGTACCCAAACAATTTTCCCCATCACCCAGAGCTCATATTTTGGAATGATCTGTTTCTCACATCTCCATCATGCCTCACATTCACATAGCTACTGAGAGGACTGCTCAGGCTCATCAGCAGTGGAATGTTCTTCAGCCCTTAAAAGTGCTTCAGAATGAACAGTGGAGTTTTCAGAAAAATGTTGATTTTTAGACTTGTAAGAGCCTGACTGAACCAGAGCGACTCCATGTTGACCACCAAACGACCTAGAGACTGTCACTCCCCTCCCATCCCTTATAGGATAACTAATGATTAATTGTGAATTTTTAGGTAACTGCTTTGAAGTAGCTCTTCAGCCCTTAAAAGTGCTTCAGAATGAACAGTGGAGTTTTCAGAAAAATGTTGATTTTTAGACTTGTAAGAGCCTGACTGAACCAGAGCGACTCCATGTTGACCACCAAACGACCTAGAGACTGTCACTCCCCTCCCATCCCTTATAGGATAACTAATGATTAATTGTGAATTTTTAGGTAACTGCTTTGAAGTAGCTGGGAAACTAAATAGAAACTGTAGTGAACACAGAGACCCAATACAAATCACGCCACTCCTTACTTGCCTGTAGTTGAATGATCTGAACATTATAATCTAAGTTGTAAATGGAATAATGGATAATCGCTCTGCTGATCATTAGTACGTGACAGTCAAGTATATGCTTGATGACCACTAGCTCAGATCAACTGATTCTTTGCCTTTGTCCTCTTCCTGTAAGTTTTAAGTGTAACCCCCCCCCTTAGCCCTATATAAAATGGCCACTGTTTCTGAGCTAGCCGCCTCTCTGAGCTACTTGGCTTGGGGAGTGCCATCTGGCCAGACTAATAAAGGTCTATTTGCCAACTTGCCTGGTGTGTTCCTTCCTGGGTGACTCTCGCTGTCCGACAAGCTCCTGGAGCCTCACTGAGCTTCTGAGCCCAGCATCATGGAGGCCTCTTGGCTGTTCACGCTCCAGGAGTGAAAGTGAGACTTAAGTCTTACAGACTCAATCCCAAACACTCTCAGATTAGGTCCAAGTTTGGGCATTTTTAAAAGTTACATGTTTGCAATACATAATAATTATATTTATTTTAGGAAGCCGGCACATGCATATAATATATCCTGATTATTTTGATACATGTTCCCCACTCTCCTCTACCTCTCCCTCCCCCTGATCCCCTTTCCCATCTCCAAATTATCTTCTTGTTTCCTACTATCTCTTCTTTATTTCACTTATTCATCTATTTATATTTTAAGTTTCCCAAATAAGAGAACCCATGAGATATATATTTCATTTAGTAGAATACTATGTCTGAAGTTCCACCCATCTTCCAGCAAATGACATGACTTCATTATTAGTGGAAGAATATTTCACTATGTGTTTATTGGATCAGTTTTGGTAAGTCATATGTGTCTAGAAATTCATCCGTTTCTTCCAGATTCTCCAATTTATTGGAATATAAGTTTTCAAAATTGTTTCTAATAAACCTCCGAATGTCAGTAGTGTTTGTTGTAATTTTATCTGTTTCATTTCTTATTGTATCGGTGTGGGTCTTCTTCCTTTCTTAGTTTTAGCTAAGGATTTATTGATCTTATTTATCTTTTCAAAGAACCAACTCTGATTCATTAATCCTTTGTATTTTTTTGGTCACAAATTCATTTCTACTCTACTTTTCACCATTTCTTTTCTTTTCTTACTTTTAGAGTTTTACTGTTTTTGTTTTCTAAGATCTTGAGATATGATTAGGTTATTTACTGGTAATCTCTTGGGTTTTCTAATGTAGGCACTCAAAGCTATGAACTTCTTTTTTAAATCTACTTTGATTGCATTTCACAGATTCTATTATGTTAGACTGACAGTATCATTTGAATACGAATTTTAAAATTTCTTCTCTAATTTTTTTTTCTGTGACCCATTGACTTCTCATGTGTGCATTATTCAATTTTCATGTGTTTGGATAGTTTTTGTGCTTTCTTTTGCTTTTTTCTAGTTTCATTCCATTGTAGTCTGATAAGATACAGGAGATTATTACAATTCTTTTGTGTTAATGGAAACATGCTTTCACGGCTAAAATATAGTTTATATTAAAGAAAGTTCCATTCTTCTGAGAAGAATGTGTATACTGCTGTCATTGGATAAGACTTTCTATAGCTGTCTGTAAATCCATTTATTCTATGGTGTAAATAGGCTCTGTTAATTCTTTGTTAATTTTTGTTGGGTTTACTTCCCTATTTGTGAAGGTGGGCTATTGAAGTTCCCCAAAATATTCATAATGATATCTTCCTGCCCCTTTCTGTCAAGTAGTTTTTGCTTTACCAATTCAGATGCACCAGTATACAGTATATTCATATTTATAGTTTTCCTCATTTCCTGGTGAATTATTCCATTTACCAATATGTAAAGACTTTTTAGTATATATAAATATATTAAATATATGTAAATACTTTTTAATAATAAGATTTTGTCCCTTCTATTTTTGGTTTGAAATCTACTTTGTTAAAAATTATTCACATTCCATTTGTTTTTGTTTTGTTTTGTTTTGTTTTAGGAACAAGCCAATCTACTAAGAGAGGGATTCCAAAATGAGAGCCGAGAACTTCAGAATGAGATAAATCGTCTCAACTCAAAGTTAGAAAACTCAGGTTCTGGATGTGTCATACTCTAAAGATCTGACAAAACAAACTTTCCTATCGCCCTTATTCTTTGAGGCATAAAGAAATTTTAGATTTTAGAACAAGTGCTTCTTCAGTTAATGTTACTTAAAAGTTATAACCACAAAAACCTGCATAGACATGAAGTACAACACTTGAAGCCAAGTTCAGCTTCCTTAAAAGATTGTAAATTTTGTATCAAGAATAGATTTTACCTCCATACAATTTTACAAAATACTGAGTTTCAATGTGATATTTTATACATGTGTATACTGATCGTATACTGATTCTATCCATATCACCATTACTCTCCCTTACACTTCCCTCTGGTTCCCATTAATTCCATCCATTTTCTTAAGGGAGTGACTATAAATGCCATGTTGTTTTGCACAGTCATGTGAAGCTCCTTCCTTCTGGACAATTGTTTATCCCTGTCCTATGGGTTATCCTTGAAATCACTTTGGGTGAATAGAAGAGGTGTATGTATAACCAAACAGATTTTAAGAGCTTTTTCTCTTAAAATGGACAGGATTTAAAGTAGAAACTGTTGCAGACACTCTTTCAAAATCCTGATTTTTAATTGTTTTGGGTAAATATAAAGAAGTGCTGGACAAATCTTATGGTACTTCTCTGCAAAACTTTTATAAGAACCTTCATATATTTTCCCAGAGCAACTACACAATTTTACATTCTGAACAAAAGTACACAAAAGTTCCAGTTTCTCCACATCCTCATTAATACATGCATTTAAAATTTTTTAGTAATCATTATCCTAACAAGAGTGGTTTGATATCTCACTGTGTTATAATTTGCATTTTCTTAATGATGATTAATAAAGTTAAGCATCTTCTGACATACTCGTTTGACATTTCTGGCTTCCACTGGGATTCAATTACTGCAACTCAACTCTTGATATCTTCATTAAAAATAATCACTCTGAAAGGCCCAATCTCTAAACACTATAGTCAGATTATGTTTTCATTCTCTCAGTAGCTTATAATGGGGATGGAATTTCAACATATGAAGCAAAGAAAGCCACTTAAATTACACCCAATCAAAATAGCACTCACAAAGCTATTTCTTATTTTATTCTAGTTATAATACAGGCTTAGGTCTAAGGTTTAAATCTTACATACAGTTAGAATTTATTTTGTATATGGTATAACTGTCTAGTTTCATTCTGTTGAGTAAAAATACCTTTCCTCATTATGCATCCTTGGCATGCTTGTCAAATCACCATTAACTCTATATGTTACATTTTGTTTCTGAGCTTTCTCTTCCATACCAGTGGTCTTTATGTCTGTCTCTATGATTGAATCATATTGTTTAGATTACTATAGCTTTGAAATATGTTTCAAACTCAAGTGTGATGAAGAGTTTTGTTTTCTGAAGATTATTTGGCTAATCAGAGTCCTTTGACTAAACATAGTCCTTTGACCACTTTATGATCTTTTCTCTTCTTCATAATACTATGCTTTAATTCACTTTCCAAGCCCAAAACAAAATATACATTGTGATTAAAATGTTATATTATCACTTATGATCTAATAAGAGAACATACTTTTAAAAGGGAAATAAAGACTTTTTTATTCCTGGTATTTGGAAAGTACTCGTCTGGAAACCTGGACAAGGACTTACCACTGAGTTACATCCACAGCACTTTTTAAAAACTTTATTTTAATACCCTAAGTTAGCCAGGTTAGCCATAAATTTGAAAATATCCGCTTCAACTTTCAGGGTAGTTGAAATGACACATATGTGCCACCACATTAGCTTAAATGTAAACAATTTTGCAAAATGTTATGTGAAAACTTATTTGTGAAAGAATAGAAAATTATTAAAGTTACCCATTCACTATTCTACCAACTAACTTTTAGTTACCAATAAACTTAATGGGGGTGGGGACAGTAGATGCAGAAAAAAGACTTTTGAAAAATCCAACTTCCATGCATAATTTTGTTTTAAACTGAACAAAATAGGTATAGAAGGACCTTACAACTCCAATAGAGGCACATCAGACCTCTGTAGTTGGTAAGTTGGAGGGGTCACCACTTTCCATCAGAACTTGGCCTATCTTCATGGGAAGGACAGCTGGAACCTACAGAAACTTATAGAGTTCAACTCTGCAGGAGGTCAGGGAGTTCAACTTGGGCCTTGCAAACAGAATTCAGCCTGAATCTCATAAATATATATGTACCAAATATTAATGCCCCCAGCTGTATAAAACAAATATTAAAGCCAGGTGTGGGGCACACGCCTATAATCCTAGCACTTGGGGGACTGAGGCAGAAGGATCACTGTGAGTTTGAGACCAGCCTAGGCTACATAGTGAGTTCCAGGTCAGTCTCAACTACATAGTGAGATCCTGTCTAAAAAAAAAAAAAAAAACAAAACAAACAAACAAATATTAAGGGATATGAAAAACCAAATAAGCACTAAGAAAATTGTAGTGGGGGCCCTCAGTACCCCATCATCACAAATAGACAGATCATCTAGACAAAGAATCAACAACTGAATACTAGAAGGGAACCAAGATTTTGAATAAATAGACTTAATAGATGTCTACCAAGTGTTCCACCCCACAAAATCAGAATATACATTCTTTTTAGCTGCACATGGGTCATTCTCCAAGATAGACCACATAAAAGCTCATAGAACAGATTTAAATAAATGAAAAGGAATCAAAGTTATCCCACATATATTATCAGACCACAGTGCAATTAAGCTGGAGATCAATAGCATAAAAAACCAAAAGAATTTCACAAAGGCATGGAAATTGAACAACACTCTCATAAACAATCAAAGCATCAAAGAATAAATTTAAAAAGAAATTAGTCAGTTTTTACAAATATATGATAATGCTAATACAACATACAAGAATCTATGGGACACAATGAAAGCAGTTCTATGAGGGAAATTCATAGCACTGAATGCCCACACTAGGAAAACAGAGCAAGTTCAAATAAACAAGCTAATGAAGAAGCTTGGGCTGCTAGAAAAAGAAGAACAAGAAAATCCTGAAGCTAGTACAAGGTAAGAAATTATAAGAGTCAGAGCAGGAATCAATGCAATGGAGACTAAGAGATCCAAGCAAACAAACAAAAATCAATGAATTGAAGAGTTGGTTTTTGAAAGAATAAATAAAATCAATAAACCCTTAGCCAACCCTGTCAAAAAAAAAAAAAAAGGAAAGGCTCAGATCCATGAAATTAGGAATGAAAAAGATGAAGTCACAAGAGATCCAGCAGAAATCCAATGAGATCAGCAATACCTACTTCAAGAACCTATACTATAATAAAATGGAAAACACAGAAGAAATGGACAGATTTCTTGATACTTCTAAATTACTAAAGTTGAACAAAGAAGGTAAAAAAATTCTAAACACCCCAATTACAATCAGTGAAATTGAAAATGTAATTAAAAGTTTACCAAAAAAAAAAAAATGGGGATTTACCTCAGTGGTTCCGCCATCTACCTTGCAAGCATGAGGTCCCAAGTTCAATCCCTAGTACAAAAAAAAACAAAACAAAAAAACAAAACAAAAAAAACTTACCAGCTAAGAAAAGCCCAAGTCCTTATGGATTCACTGCTGAGTTCTACAAGACATTTAGAGAACCACTGCCACTACTCTTTAAACTTTTCATTGAAATGGAAAGGGAAGCAATACTTCCAAATTCATTCCTGGAAGTGTTACTTTGATTTCCAAACCAGGGAAAAGACCCAAACAAAAAAATGAACTACAGGCCAATCTCCTTAATGAACATAGATGCAAAAGTCAGATTTATCCCAGGGATGCAAGGATGGTTCAACTTGCATAAATCAATAAATGTAATACACTATATTAACAGAGTCAAGGACAAAAATCATATAATCATCTCAATATATGCAAAAAAGCATTCAAAAAAATTCAACACAAGTTCATGATAAAATACCTGCAGAAAATTGGAATAGATGGTCTTTATCTCAACTTGATAAAGGCTATCTATGAAAAACCAACAGCCAACATCACATTAAATGGCCCAAAACTGAAAACCTTCATGCTAAAATCAGATACAAGACAAGGATGCCCACTATCACCACTCCTGCTCAATATAGTTTTGGAAACATTATCCATAGCAATTAGACAAGAGAAAGAAAAAAAATGAATAAAGATTAGAAATTAAACTGTCATTATTTATTGATGATATGATACTCGACGTAGAAGACCCAAAAAACTCCACCAAAAGTCTTCTACACTTAATTGACACTTTCAGCAGAGTAGCTGGATAAAAGTTCAACACTCAATAATCAATAGCCTTCTTGTACACAAATAAAAGACTCACTGAGAGAGAAATTAAGGAAACAATTCCTTTCACAATAGCATCCAAAAAGTGAGGAAGAAAATGGAAAGATATCCCCTGCTCCTGGGTAGGAAGAATCAACATAGTAAAAATGGCCACACTACCAAAACTGCTATACAGATTCAATGCAATGCTAATTGAAATTCCAACAGTATACTTCACAGAACTAGAGAAAATAATCCAAAAATTCATTTGGAACCAGAAGAGACCTAGAATAGCAAATACAATTCTAGGCAACAGAGACATGATGAGGTATCACAATCCCCAACCTGAAGCTGTACTACAAAGCCACTGTGATAAAAACAGCATGGTACTGGCAAAGAAAAAGCCCTGAGTCTCAGTACTATAGATTGGAAGACACAGAAACAACTCCAGATCTACTCAGCTACCTCGTCTTTGACAAAGGAGCCAACCATCCTCACTGGAGGAAAGCCTCTTTAATAAATTGTGTTGGAAACACTGGATTTCTACCAGCCAAAGATGAAAACTAGACCCGTATCTTCTACCACACACTAAACTCCAAGTGGATTAAAGATCTAAATATTAAAACAGAAACTCTAAACTTGCTGGAAGAGAAGTTAGAAAGAACTCTTGAAGACATTGGCATAAGAAAAGACCTTATGAACAAGTCCTCAGTAGCACAGGAACCAGCAGAAAGAATCAACAACTGGGATCTCATCTTATTAAAAAGCTTCTTCCCTGCAAAAGAAACCACCAACAGAGCTAAGAGACAAACTACCATGTAGGAAAAAAATTTTACCAGCTGCTCCTCAGACAAAGGACTATTATCTAAGATATATAAAGAGATAAAAAAAATCAGGCCCCCCAAACATAAAGACCCGATTCAAAAATAGGCATCTGAAATGAATAGACATTTCTCAGACAAAGAAGTAAAAGCAGCAAATAAATATATGAAAAAATGTTCAACATCACTGGTCATTTGAGAGATGCAGATGAAAACAACACTGAGATTCCACCTCATCCTAGAAAGAATGGCTGCTATCAAGAAATCAACCAACAGCAAATGTTGGCAGGGTTGTGGGGAGAAAGGAACCCTTCTCCATTGTTGGTGGGAATGCAGATTGGTACAACTACTGTAGAAATCTATATGGATACTTCAAACAACTTGGATTAGAGGTTCCATTTGATCCAGCTATCCCTTTGCTG